AAAGACCTTTAAATATTAAAGAATAAAAAAAAACATCATCCTAATCCGCTTTGCCGTTTCAGCGTGAAGGAAGAAGGTAACTTACAATACACACGCATACACACACACACACACACGCGCATATATATTTTTTGTATATATATATATACAAAAAAAATTCTTTAGTTACCATGAAAATATTATCCAAGATGTCGAAAAATTTTTTTGGTAAAGTTTGATTATTAATATTAAAAGGTGGCTTATCGTGATTTTTAATTTTACATATAAATAACATAGGACATTTTTTTATTATTCTGCGCTCTTTTTAATGCGGTCAAACGAATTATTGTCCAGTCAAATTAAAAACATATACTTCTAGGGAATTAAACGATTAATAAAAAAGGTCAAATATGATTTTTTTGCTTAGTCGACTCGCTTAAAAGTTATTCGAGGTTAAAGTTCAACCTCAAATGGTAAATGATGACTTTTACAATTTTTCATACTCTATCACAAAATAATGGCTCAAAAACATAAAATATCATATTTTTCAATAATAATAATAATTAATGTATTATGTACATAAACACTATATATTTAGTTAAGTACATTAAAACCTTTTATTTACCTTGTCTTTAAAATCATAATTATAACTAATTTAATAGTATAAGAGTGTTCTTTGAAAAATAACTAAATTGTTGAAATATCCTTTTAAATAGTACTTAAAGGCTTCCCTTAAAAGCTTTCTATAGGAACCGTTTTATTACATTAACTCTGTAAAAGCTTTATATGGTTTTAAATGTACATATGTAGATAGGTACCTATATGATACAAAAATAGTATATTGTAAGCTATTTAAATTTAAAGTTGTATTTAATTTTACGTAATAATTTATTCATTTTGATATATAAATATACCTAATGGTATATATGAGTTCATATATGTGTGTACCTAATATGTAGTACCTATTTTTGACTTTAAAACTTCATTTAACAATCAGGCAGAAGCTTGTATGGTACTTTTATCAAAAATATAGGTTTTTGGACAAACATTTTCGTTTTTAACTAAATTATTTAATTTTTTTACTTTTCTAATACTTGAGCTTTCTTAAAATATGGTATATCCGCCATCTATCGTATGTTTAAAGAACGACGAGGAAGTACACATCGGTATGCGAGTTGCTGACAAAAGTTACCACTCAATTTTCAATATATTATTAAATATCAGTATCATTATTAAATATACCTAAGTTAATGTAGATAAATATTTAATTAAAAAATAATATGTAAATATGTACCCACTTATGTTATAAATATTATTATTATTATTTAAATTTAACTTCTATAATAATATTGAGTCAAATAACATCCTAGCAATGTCCAGGCAAATTTATATAAATAAACTCTATTTAAACCATCAAATACACAACCCTTTTATTGGACGTCTAAAAATAAATCAACAAGTAAGTCCGAGGACGGGGCAGGGAATATGGGTCAATGTCGTCAGTATTCAACTGGTGTGGCAATCGCCCCCTGTCGCACCTAATTGAGCTTATTTAAATTTTATTGATTTCTTTGATCGTTGCTACTTTGTAGTATTTTGTTTCTATACAATTGATTGATGTTTGTAAAATAAGATGAGTTTAAGATTGAATTTGTTAAATTGGTTATATTTAAAAAAAAATAGCATAGTAGATATATTATGTCTTTAAAAAGCAATCCATTTTAAAAGAACGTGTGTGTGTACTTATGTACGCACGTAAGAAGTTGTACTTCTTTGGCGTAACAGAACAAAAATAGCTAAAGATTTCATCCCGTATGTCACAACTTTCTGTTTGTAAAAGGAATGCAGCTAACTTTCAGCTAACTTCATCATGTCGCTTGTTGGCTGTCGGTGCGCGCATCGTAAAAATTTTACTCTCATATTTTTTTCCAAACGTACCAGAAGAAGTATAACTTCAAAAAGTAACATCCGAATATCTAAATTGTAATACATATTATTTAAACAGTTAGAATACCTAATACTTTACAACAAAATAGAGCCGTTTCATGAAGATATTGATTTATTCCACTTACCGATAAAACGTATCTATACCTGTATATGTATATTTGTCCCAAATAAGTTAATATTTAAATCGTTACCAACATAATGAAATAAAAGCTTTGTTTTATAAATAATTAAATAGAAGTGCGGAGATTGGAGCAAGAATGTAAGCGTCATCAGCATTCAGTGTGCGTCAGACCCGAGTTTTTTCTTGTCACACCTAATTGATCGTTTTAAATTTGACTAATTCAATTGGACGACGTTGTTTATTTAGAATAAAAATTCAATTTATTTGATTACAATTCTACGTCTAAAATTACAGTAGCTCCATGATGCACAACGGATCAAAAGAGAGTCTAAGTGCGGAAGACGAGTCCACTTTACAAGGCAGCTTTTTTAATGTGCAAACGCGTTTGGACCCTTGTCTCATTCCTCGCTATAGAACTAGCTAATCATTTGATTCATTTGAAATAATAATAAAAAAAAAAACATTTTATGTACTTTTTTAATTTAAATTTGAATTAAAGATCAAAGTTATCAATCAATGCATAGAAATACCATTTTTAGTTTGTGTTGTTTCTAAGCAGAGCTGTAACTTCAGTAAATTATAATTCACCGATATTTTTATACATATACGTAGCATGAATCATTTTTTTAGCACTCATGTCTACTATTGAATTATTTTTTGATAATATGACGCTATGTTTATGTTATATATTATATATGTCATACTATATTTATTCTCAACATAGCCAGGCATTTCAGAGAGTTGAAGCAGATTTGCTTCTTAATCTGATCTTTAAAAGCGGCTTAGCTAAATAAAGCTCATTTCAAGAGTCGGCTTACACGTGCATATCATAGTAGTTTTATGTCAGTTGTAAATATTAAGTGTTTTTTGAAAAATAAAAGGAACCACTATACTATAATATAATTTATGATTTAGCAAGATTATTCACGGATTACTCACGCAAGGCAGTAGTAGCCCAGTGGCAATGCGCTCGCTTGCGAAACCGAGTGAAGCGGGTTCATATCCCGAGTCCAGCACCTCTGATATTTTCATGTGCGAATCATTGGCAACATTATTACCTTGTCTTACGGTGAAGGAAAACATCGTGAGGAAACCTGCATGTCTGAGAGAACCTAGCAAGTTTCTGAGAGACATGTGAAGTCCGCCAACCCGCATTTGGCCAGCGTGGTGGACTATGGCCTGAACGCCCTCGTATTGAAGGGACGCCCGTGTCCAGCAGTGAGGCATTAAAAATACATACTCACGGTTGGATTTTTATTGGAATTTAATATTAATATTTGTAAGTCTCGGAGCATGGTTGAGACAATACGTCTCATACAAAGAGGATAAGGGGATCGTCGAGCCATACATAGACTGCCTATTTGAAATTTTTAGATGTCTGCATTCTTCAATGTACATATGTCTTACTATTATCTTTTTTTTTTACTTTACAACCACTTGACATCGTCTTTCCTTCACTTGCTTGAGAAAAGAGACAATATAATTATTAAGATACATTTTTAATAATAACTGATATCTGTATAATTGTTTACAGTAATACACAAGAAAACAAACTGAAATAAAATATAACTGATACCCGAAGGTTTTTAAAAAGTTGGTAGGTGGTTATTATCATAAAGTATTTACGCATGATCGCCGTCATTCCGAACCCTTGCATCCTGTTGCGAAGTTAATTGTCATTTTTACTTTTATTGATGTTTGATCACTTTATTGTAACCCTGTACCTACATATCTTTATATTGACATCTATACATATAATAAAATTCTAACTGAGCCGAATCTGCACATTAAATATTTTTTTAAAAATCTTATTGAAATAGACAATATTATCGATACACAGGCTGAACTTAGTTTTTAGAATTTTTGTCTGTCTGTCGGTTTGTCTGTTACCGCATCACAGAAAAACCACTAGACTGATTTTAATGAAATTTGGTACGATTATAGCTGGTAATCCGGGTCAACATATAGGATATTTTTATTGCGGGAAAATATGTCATTTGTGAGAAATCTATACTAAACGTTAAAACATAAGTAGGGACGAACCCGAGCGGAGCGAGGGTGAGTCGCTAGTAGTATATGTGCATGTTAATTTACTTATATAATAAAAGAAACGCTGTTTATTAGTAAAAGCATCACTTGAGAACAGCTGGACGGAGATGGGTATTTTTAATCTGTTTTTCATTATATTGGAAAATTTTGCCTGGAAAATTGAAAAATTCAGACTGAAAGGGTTTTTTTCCATGGAAATTTTGTAAAACGTAAAAGATCACAAATTTTTATTGAAATTTTTACAAAACAATGTGTTTTGAGTCAGCTAGTTATAAATAATATACAATGAGCTTTAAGTTGAAAAATCTTAAACATCATACCAATCACTTGGCTGGAATGAGTTCAAATTACAATCTGGCTATAAAACACGTATCATTCATTATATTCGTAGATAGTAATTTCGTTTCATTGTTATCACTTTTGTCACAATGAACCACTAAAAGATAAGATAGCATCTAACCGTTTCAAATAATCGTTATAAAATCAATCTACATTTATAGATCTATCGTATTTTCGACAAATTGAGATTATGAATAGAAGCCAAAAGCCTATATACATATACTACATTATCGTATTCTAACAGGTTAACAACATTTATAGGCGACACCTTCACCAGATGTTTGACATATTTTTTTTTATTTTAATATATTTTAACTTAACAATTTTACTTTTAAGCCTTTACTTCATTATGTAAATTAAATTGCACATATATGTACATATATATTATGTAACTTGATATTAAAGATGGTTATATCGTAATTTATTTACATAACAAAGTAATAAAATAAAACATTATATTATAGCTTTAATATTTTTATGTAAAATAAAATAAATAAATTAATAATCCAACAAAAATAATAAACATCACTGAAAAGAAGCTAATTAAATTGCTTGTTTTACTTACACTCATATCTATAGGCTGTCACAATTGTAACTCATTTATTGCACGTATCTTTTACGATACGATATCATAAATTGCCGTGCAATAATATATGTTTGACACGCCACATTCTCACACTTCAGTGACACGAAACAAAATTCACCGAATTCACCCACAAATGTATCACAACACTACCACTGGTGGAAATTCAGAGCAAACTACTTTAATACGATGATAAAGCTCTGTACTATCACTTAGAATACGTTTCCAAAGCTCTTATCAGTGAATAACATTATATTTTCTAATCAAACTCTCATTTTTGAGGTTATTTCGCGGATCGGTAAATGTAGGCCATGTTACAGAGGGTGCCAAAACTTTAAGGTTCAAAATTGCGTGACAGTGTATGTCTGTGTAGAAGGATTTGTCTCGACGAATTCTGACGACTCGAGCTTTTAGTGTGTGGGGTTGATGTTACGGTTGTGTGGGTTGTAACTGGTTCAAGTGAACATATTTTCTAAGATAAATCTTGGGATAAATGTTTACCGTTTTATTAAATTTTAAACATAACTACTTAATTAAAATTTATTTGGTTAAGTTAGTTACATTCAGTTCAGTTCCACTGCTTTTTACGTTATAAATTTCGAGTTGGAGTTTGGGTTTTTTCGTTGTTTTGTAAATATAAATAAGATTTATTAAATTGAACGTCGAGATCTTTTTATTAAACATTACTTTCGCTTCGCTCGGGTTCGTCTCTAGTTTACGCAGCGCACGTCTGACATAAAGTAACTAGTTTCCGAAAAACATATAGGTATGTAATGTCCGCCATCCCGCACTTGGCTAGCGTGGTGGACCATGACTATCACGTGGGTCTCATGCCCAGCAGTGAGAAGTTAAAAAGGGCTGAAAATAAAAATTGCAGTAAAGTCAAAACAAACAACTTTTTAACAAAAAAATAAAAACCGACTTCAAACAAAAGCACTAAAAAATAAAAAATAACTGATTGGTAGTTTTCATTTACTATACATACCTAATCAAATATTTTCGAAGTCGGTGTGCTTTGCTTTGTATGGACTGTCACCGATTTCGAAAATATTTGATTACGTATGTATAGTAAATGAAAACTAACAATCAGTTATTTTTTACTTTTTAGTGCTTTTGTTTGAAGTCGGTTTTGATTTTTTTGTTAAAAAGTTTTTATTTTTCCCTTTTTTGTGTAGACAGTAGTAGCAAAGTAAGAATTCTAACGTGTTAGGCTTGTCAAATCAAACAAAATAAGCCCAAACTCAAAGTATCTACTATTAGCCGTTGAAGAGTCCACCTATCCACCTTCTGGCCTTACCATCAGATCTGGTCAACAATACCGAACCACTGTACTATCAACGGAAATAGAAATACTTGCAAAGTTTCAAGTCAATATGACAATTAGAAGTAGGTTAAATTCATCATTATCTATTTTTCCACCCTTAGGGGTGGTATTTTTTTTGAAATTTAAATGGGACCAATCTGGAAGTATACACTTTCAAACAACACAAAAATTGTCCAAATCGGTTAATAAATGACGGAGTTCTGAGGTAACAAACATAAAAAAAATAAAAAATACAGTCGAATTGAGAATCTCCTCCTTTTTGAAGTCGGTTGAAAAGCAATACGCTTTAACGGTCGCGGATACGCCAACATGACACTTAACAATTGATTACCCGAAAACTAACTAACGAAAACGCTTCAGTGGTTGAAGCGTTATTTATAACACTTTATAAATGATCACCAAATGCTTTCTATGTCGTAAGGGAAAGAACATGAAGATTTTGGAGTTAATATAGGAAAAAAACACGAAAGATAAACACATCTATAATATTACAGAACAGATACTTATTAATACTAAACTAAACATTATATATTATTATATAGTATCTTCGAATACGACTTTAGGTGAATGTTCTTGTATAGCGTGAATCTGGAAAAATCGATCCCCATCGTAGTTAAAAAGTAGTTACTACTGTTTTGAAAGTCACTCGCCTCTAAGTCGGTTTGATAAATTGCTTGACTTTTTATTGGGTTTTGCGTTATCTACTATACGAGTGATAGATGAAGACAGCTTAAAGGAGACGTTAGCAGTATTTTACATTTCATTATATTATATGTATTATATTTCTTCATATGTATTATACTTATATTATGTTTTATTTTCTAGCCTTTGATTATTCATGTGTGTTTTATACATAGCTAGCGACTCACCCTCACTTATCTCCGGTTCGTCCCTAGGTAATTCTCGCGTCCATAATTTTTTTGCGATTACTCCTAAGATATACATTTAAATTATATGGTGTAAAAGAGTAAAATTATGTGCATGAAATGCTTAAAGTCTCTAACTTATTTAAAATGATAAGGATTAATACCGTATTTGTATAAATAGCTTTTACATAACCGCATTATAATTGCCAATTTTTTAAAGTATTAAAATTGATATAGTATGTTATCCTTAAGAGATAGGCATTTGCTATCGGGGACTTTTCTGTAGACCTATATAAGATACACAAATCCACAATACATTATTTTGTTATATCTCAAAGGGATTAGGCAGCGTTTTCTTTGAGAGCTCCCAGACCCCTTTTTTTCGACACCAACAAATATCGTTATATTTTAGCCAATGTATACAAATACTTAACAAATTATATACTATCACCTTCCTCGAGAACCACTCTATCCCTTGGTGAAAAAATCATGAAAATCGGTGCAGTAGTTTTTGAGTTTTTCGCGAACAGACAGACAGATAAACAGACAGACGCGGCGGAGGACATTGTTTTATAATAGGTATGTAGTGATTAGTAGCAAAAACGAGTTATAAGCGAGTTTGATATAGTGGTAACTGGTAAGTCACTTTAATGACGTACATGTGTGTGTTAATCAAACACTCACACATAGAATTAAAATCAAATATCACGCAGTGAGTTCAACAGTTTAGGAAACTCAATCTTATTGCATTTCGGCTAAAGTTCAAAATTAATTTCCTTCATATATAATACACATTTAGGGATGAAATGATACTACCTGAAATGGATAGATACAAGTGCTTGGGAATGAAAAAGAAAGCAATAGATAAGTACGCAGGAGATATGTAGGTATATCGGATCACGTTTGCGAATACTTTACCCGTATTTACTAGAGATAAAAAAACTTTGCGTAGCTAACGTAAGCTATTTTTATCTTAAAAAATCTTATTTAAAAGTAACTTCGAATATTTGTCCTTAAAATAGTATGATCATATACTAATAATAATACTAACATATAGAACATTACAAATTATGATTAATAATTATTTATAAAATACGTGATAAATAATAAAATAGACGTTGTTATCATAAATATTAAAATTCAGAAGATATTCGAGACACAGACACACAGCCATATCATGAAAAAAAATCATTATATTACCTACTTGACATGCGCGAACCGGCGAATCGATGGGACCATTTGTTGTTGTTGCATCTCGCTCGCACACAATGTGCCCTTCACCTGTCAAGTGTCACTGTGACGTCCGAGTGGAGCTGTTTAGTCCACATATATCCTAATAGATGGCGTTACTTGTTTCGATTTCATGAAGGTTTTATTTTTTTATTATAACCGATGACTTGATGGTGATTTTTCATCGTGAAATTAATATCTTATTAGGTATAATTCGAATTTAAGTGCTATTAAATTAGAATTTAATGTCAATTTTTTTTTATATGTACTATTTACTTTACCTTATAAAACTTATTTTACGTTTTTACGCGTTTCCTTCTTTAGTAAGTTGACGTTTTATAATCGTATTTTTTATAAAATAAACAGGAAGCAGTAAATATTATAGATAGATTAGAATTGAACTTGTGACCGTAAGTAGTGCTAGTAATAGGTAGGTATATTATACAACATGTAACGGCGATTTTCATCAATAAGTAGGTACTGTTTTATTGTAAAGAATGAACGTTAATCAATTATTATCCATGTCTATACATAATTAAATCAGTAAAAATATAACTCATTGTTATATTTATAAATATAATAATGAGTAAAGGTTATAGTTATAATTATTTAATATTTTTGTATCGTAAATAATAATAAAAACCACACAAAGTAGCTGTTTGAAATAACAGTATATTATAATATAAAAAATATTAATATAATCCTTTAAGTGAAAAGTTACAAAATGATTACAGGCCACCCATCAAAATTAAATACTCACCAATGTACTACATTGGTCAGATAAACAAACTTTTGGGTTTCTTTTGGGCCTTCATTCATTATTTTGAGCATCTGTTGTTATCAATCGAACATTAAATACCTACCTAATAGATTTTTTAAAATTGCAAATGGTAGTCATGTTTAATTTCAAATGATACCTCCAATTTAGCTATAGGTACATTTTTCGTTCTCGACAAGATTTGGATGAAGAAAATATAGTGACACCTCTTCTTCGTTCTTAGATTCTTGATTGAGACGTCTCGATAATACGTTTTGGTGGCTCTTTAGAAAGAAGTATTTTTATTAACTAGCCTAGGGTAAGTTTGTGCGTGTTCAGACATCATTTTTATTTTTTATGGTTCCGTAAGGATGGAAGAGCAACAAGGATCCCTTATAGGAACACTTCGTTGTCCGTCCGTCTGTCTGTCTAGCTGTATATCAAGACCGTATTTCGTTAAACCCCGAGGAGGTATCAAGTTGAAATTAAATCAAATACTCAGGTCTGCAATCCCTAGAATCTGCGAAATAATCAAACTTATAAGTCAACGCAAACAAAAGACAACACCGTTTATCTCGCATATTTTGACATTCGCTAAGGAACTCCGAAGGGAATCAAAACCTATACTACCAGTTGGGTGCCTACTTCCGGTTGACCTAAAATTATAAAATTTGGCATGAAGCAGCAGTCGTAAAGCACAAATAGAGGGAAAATTCAGAAAATCGTAAATTTGTATTTAGGCACATAACAAAAAAAAATTTTAAAGTTTCATAATACAGAACCCTCGGTGTGCGAGTCAAGAGTTTGCTCG